TGGTCGCCCCCAACTGCCCCGCACACTGGCCTGGTCACCCCTCACTGCCCCCCTCTGCTGGCCTGGTCGCCCCTCACTGCCACCCCCCGCCAGCCTGGCCACCCCCATCTGCAGCCCCTACGGGCCTGGTCACCCCACGCAGCCTGCTGTTTGGTCATTTAGTCACCCCCAACTGCCCCTGCTATGGGCCTGGTCATCCCACACAACCTGCTGCTCGGTCATTTGGGCGCCCCTCACTGACCCTCCTGCCGGCCTGGTCACCCCACGCAACCTGTTTGGTCGTCTGTTCAGTTGTGATGGTCACTTAGGCTTTTATATATATAGATAGGACTAGGGGCCCAGTGCATGAATTCATGCACATTGAAAAGAACTGTGGGCTGCAAGGCTGTGGTGATCACAGGGGCAGGTCTCGGCCCATCCTCTGTGCCCTCACCAGGCCCCTCCCGCTGTGGCCCTTGGTCCCCTGTCTACCATCAGCCCTGCTCCCGCCGCTGCTGCTCCCATGCACTGGCTGGCCCCACTTGCACCCACTGACAGTGTGGAGTGATGGGGCTGGTGCCAGCAGCAGGTACGAGCGGGGCCGGAGCCAGCAGTAGGTGTGAGTGGCGGCTATGGCTCCAGCAGCGGGTGTGAGCAGGGCCAGTGCCAGAAGCAGGTGTGTGTGCAAGGCAGGAACGTGGCGTGCGAGAGCAAAGAATTTTAAGTAACCACCAGAGGCTGCCCTGATGACAGCAACTGGCGCCCTGCCTTGGTCTGGTGCCCCTGCTCACTTGCTCCATCATCCTGCTGCAACCAATGCCCGCCATGTTCTGTGCTCTTTTGCCTGCTGCTGATGCCTGCCATGTTCTGCGCGTGCCCCCTGCTGGTCCAGCGCACATCATCGCGACCAGTTCAGTTGTTCCACCATTCGGACTATCTGCATATTAGCCTTTTATATATAGGATATCAAATCACTATATGTCCATTTTATTTTAAAGAGCTTATAATTTTATTTTCAGTAGTACCTCAATTAGACTGAAAAAGGATAAATGATAAAGGATAAAAATGAGGTGGTCAACCACAAAATATTCTTTAGGTAGGTCAGCTGCTAGATGAGTCACATGTTCAAGGTGTGACCATGGCTTGTTTCAAATTACCTATAAAATTACTTAAAACAAAGTTTATTATTTATGATATTATGTGTGTATCATTACTTATAAACTTTTCAATCATTTTTTTTATTATGTTAATATTGATAATCTTTTAGTGAGGAAAGGGCTTATTTAATCCCCCTGCCAGCCTAGTCGCCCCACGCAACTAGTTTGGTCGTCTGTGGCTCAGTGGTTGAGCAGAGACCAATGCACCAGGAGGTTGATGATATGACTCCCTGTCAGAGCACATGCCCATGTTGCGAGCTCGATCCCCAGTTAGGGGGTGTGAAGGAAGCAGCCAATCAATGTTCCTCTCTTATCAATGTTTCTATCTCTCCCTCTCACTTCCCCTCTCTCTCAAAACTCAGTAAAAACATTTTTAAAAACAAATAAAAAATAAAGAGGCCCCAAGAATGATTATGAAAATATGACAAAAGCTTTAAGAACTTCAGAATAAATGACCCTAGGCAGTTTAATAAGAATTATAATTACTCTTAAATATTAGCATTATTATGGAGCATGGGTAATATTGCATCCAAAATATATCCAGCGCTGGCTGGTGTGGCGAAATGATTAGAATGTCAGCACCCACACACAAGGGTCTTGGGTTTGATTCCCAGTCAAGGGCACATACCTGGGTTGCAGGTTCAATCCCCGGCCCTAGTTGGGCAAATACAGATGCAACCAAGTGATGTCTCTCTCTCTCTCTCTCTCTCTCTCTCTCTCTCTCTCTCTCTCTCTTTCTCACCCTTCCTTCCTCCCTCCCTCCCTCCCTCCCTCCCTCCCTCCCTCCCTCCCTCCCTCCCTCCCTCCCTCCCTTCCTTCCTTCCTTCCTTCCTTCCTTCCTTCCTTCCTTCCTTCCCTTCAACTCTCTCTAAAAATCAGTGGAAAAAATACCCTCAGGTGAAGAGTAACATATATATTTTCCCTTGATTTACTGTGGAAGCCAAAATATCTCTAGGAGAGAAAATATAGGGAGGGCGAAGTGGGACTATAGTTAAGTGTTCAGCAGAGAATAAAGCATTAGAGAAAATATGAGGATCATTTATACTTGTGTATCATATGGGGAATATGTAATAGGTACTTTTACTTTTCCCCTGATCTATCTCAATTTTTTTATTTCAAGGGCTTTTCAGACTATGGTCAGATGTCCTCTCAGAGAATAGCTTGTATATTTTGTTGTTGCTTTAGCATTAAAATCGCTGAGGGAAAATTAAAG